GTAGGAAGAGCGTTGAAAGTGCAAACGTAACCGTTCAAGCGTCCGGTCTCCAACTTTGACACACGAACAACGCCGGAGTCTACCACAATCTTTATGCTAGTAAAGATTATAGTAGTATAAAATATAAAGATTAAAATTTGGGATAATAATAATCTTGTATATTTCTATAGAAAATATTTCTAATAATATTTAGAAAATATTATAGATATTTTCTATACACAAATGATATTAATGGAACACTTAGAATAGCATTTCTTCTCTCTCTAAAATATGGCCGAAATATTTTTTTCAAAGAGTGATCCAATACCCAAAGTGACTTATGGCATGAATAATTTAAATAAAACAAAGATGTGATTAACTTTTGTCATTAGCTAAATGACAAAACTAATTAGCCCACGTAAAAATCAATCAAAGAAAACTTTGATTCTCCTCAATCCCAAATGGCCGAAAGTTAGATTGAGAAGGATTTTCAAAACTCTTCTCCACTCAAATGTTCAAAGTGTATTTTATTTGACACCAAAAATTAATATAAAATTAATTTTAAATCAAATAAAATACCAATATCATTTTTTAAACAAGTATAAAAATATACTTTAAATAGTTTATGTCAAAATAATTATTTTCATAATTAAAATGACAAACCAAAATAACATATTCAACATATAATATATTTATATATATATTTCGGTGTTATCATATATATATATTATATATATATATATATATATATATATATATATATATATATAACCCGTATATATAATATATATTATACTCCAAAATAATTTATTTTACTATTTTACAAATATACAAATTACTTATTATCTCATTGTTTAATCCTACTCCTTAAATTGTCCAAAGTGTGTGACCCGTATAGACACTTATAAAGCTGGCCACAGTATTGGCTCTGCACCAATACCATAAGCAATAAGCGGTATCTAGCAACACATTATTGCCCCCCATATTATAAGTTAAGACGTTTGCACCGTCAAAACCTTTCCACGACTCAGACTCCGTGTAACTGTATCCCTTTGTCTCAATGTCTAAACTTAATGCAAGGGATTAATAGAATTCAACTTGTATCCATTAAGTCATTCACTGATTTATCAAGTCTGACTAATAGGAACAGACGTCATAAAAACATCTCAACATGGCCATGCAATTTCCTTAGTCATAACTTATCAGTGGGCCCCATAAGACATTAATCTCTTTAAAAAGAGTAGTGACAAATCATATGTACGTAATCTACGTTTCTGAATACGCGCTGCGGCATACCCAAAATAAAGCCTGTATACCGTACTTATTTCATATGGCTTAGGACGATGCATCAAAGTATGCGGGTTCACAAATGCAGAAAACGTAATACTTCAAGTCGAAGGATAGTTACACCCGTGGTCGCGCTAAAGATGCTTAGAGCATGAACTAAAAGTTCAAGCAACATCTTTAGGATGGGTCAGTCCGGCATCCTATTATCTCCAGATAATATCTGCCCATGTGCGGATGCGAACACACTGTCATTGACTATGAGACTAAGTCAAACATCCAACACACACTAGTCT